AGACAAGGTAACCGTCGACAAGATCGATGTAGGCACAAAGCAAGTGGTGGTCACCACCGACTTACCAGCCAGTGACATATTAGAAGCACTCAAGAAGACTGGCAAGGAAATAAAACAATTATAATGAAAATTGCTCTATTTTGTTATATTATACTTGCCGTTGTGTCTTGTGGGTCTCATGGTTGTGATAATTTATTGTGACAATAGTACTAATTTGTTCTGTATATGTGTGGATGTGGAGTGCACAATGCTTTGTTGAGTTTCATGAGAACAAAACCTAGAGGATTGGATAGAAGCAACCTAACATATCATCTATAATATTTTCTTGGCCACTGTGCTTAATAAAGCTTTTCGACGATCAGAACTTCAACAAGAGAGGTGGCACATACGTGCGACAGGAAAACGAGTTTTAAAACAAGGGCATTTATGGGAGTCAGAAAAAAAAGCGAAAAAAAAACCCAAAGAAGGCATTTTAAGTATTTGAAGTGAGCTCGAGGTCTGCTATGCTCCCGAATATCGTACGCGTGTATGAAAGAATGTACAGGAATACTGTAACAACAAGCGTAAGCGGTTTTAGCCCTATGCAGGGGCAAAACATCCTTCTTTCCCTCAATTTTCTCACGTTTTTCCTTCTTATTTGAGTCTGCGAGTGCCTCCGGTGAACGGCTAAGCGCCCTCCTACCAAACTAGTGAGCTCAGCGAATGAATTTTTCAGAAGAGAAACTTTTGAAGGCGTAGAAACCAATGTAAGTTGATACCTCGTCAAAACATGTCGGCGGACCAGCTGACAACGTGCACGGCGAGTAAGAATAGTTTTGTATCTGGCCAGCAATCCACAAAACTATTTAACCAGTCCGAACTTTATATTTACATGGAAAGGAAAGAATCTTATCACTCATTTGGTGAGCACTACTGCGAGCTTGTTCTCCAGTCGTCCGTCTGTCTACATGAGGTGAACTAACCAGTAGCTGCTGCACATTTCTGAACTTGTGTATCTCGATTTTTTTCTAGTTTCGGCTATGAGGGAAATCCAGTGTCTTGACACAAACGGTGCTGGCACCAATTTGAAAGCTCCAGACGTCCATCAAACCCGGCGATTGTGCCAAGTGACACGATCGCGCACGCCCATCCCTCGGCACAACCGCCGAGTCTGATGGATACTCAACTTGCGAGTTTCAAGATCGCGTTCACAGCTTTCTGCGTCATGCATAGCGCCATTTTGGTCATGCGGGAACAATTGAGCAAGCTAGCTCCCTAAGGTCCTCATCCAAACAACAAAAGTAGCAAAGTCGCGAAAGATTAGTTCCACATACCCTTGCAATCTGTAATTAACTTCTAAATGTAGAAGTGAATATCGATACATTCAAATGACCGACGTAAGATCATTCATCACAAGAACGACAGTAGTGATTTCCCTGACAAAGATGAAGACATGAATGAGATGATCATTTTAACTATTAGATGACAAGAAAATTATCGATGTTCACAGACGTCCGCTGTGCCTTACGCCAATGTAACGGAAAGCAAAGCATACACAGGGTGAGGAGTTTACATCGAGTGAAACTCATCTGAATGCATGGGAAAGGTTGAAAATTGAGCCGGGGAATACACCGCTCAAATATTCGTCCAGTGGTAAGGAACAACGTGAGAATTGGAAGAAAATACAACGGACGGAAAAGTATACATGTTCACGGTTTCTCATCATCAACGTTTATTTTAATTCATTCCATGTTTTGCTTCATATG